TTATTCAATTTTTAAATGAATTGAAAAAGATATAATATTATATATATATATATATATATATATATATGAAATTGTAGCTTATGTTTATAAATCTTTCTCAACATAAAATATATAGAATGTAGGAAGGTTGTTCTTTCAGGAAATGGTCTGTTTTATGTTCTTTGTACCTTTATTCTGGGTAATGATTTGTTTCAATAATCAGATTAGATAGAATAGAATAGAAAATCCCTTTATTGTCCCCCTGAATAAGGGGGACAATAAATAAATAACAGAATAAGTGGCAGACTTAAAAAAAATAAAAATCAAATACTGTACTGTACAGAGTACAGATTGGCAGCCCAGGGGTTAGGGCATAGAGCTTAGAATCCTGAGGTTCTGAGTTCCAGCCCCACTCCCACAGATTGCCACTCTGGGTCTCTAAGCAAAGACCCTTAACCCCACACTGCTCCCCGGGTGCCACACAATAGCAGCCCACTGCTCCCCAAGGGGATGGGTTAAATCCAGAGAGTTCATTTTCAGCCTCCTGAGATTCAACTGGCTCTATTTCACTGTCTTAAATTTGGCGTCTAAATTACTTCCGCATGAGCGCCACGTCACGTGACTAAGAGTGAAATAGAGCCAGTTGAATCTCAGGAGGCTGAAAATATTGAGTTTGAATTTGAAAGGTCAAATTTTTTTATATGCAGATTTTTTTAACACTCAAAAATTAAACTAAAAAATAAGTATTGAAAATGTAATCACTTTGAAATATTAATGTGAATTTTTAGCTTGAAGAGAAAATAAATTAAATTTCAACTGTGTAGAAATAATGACAATGAACTTCTTTTTAGGTCAAAAATGTGTTCTGAATATATTTTAACACTGAAACAGTAAGTAGAAACATACAACATTTAAATTTCAGTAGTATTTTTAATTTAAATCCCAGCGACACAGATTTACTTCCATAAATGACAATAAAAAAAAGTGTAAAAATAGAAATACTGTGCAGTTTCACAATTAAACAGATTGTTAATTGTTTTTAATCCAGCTCCAGTAATGGACTGCTGTTATGTTTCTATATAAACCATCATCAGAGAGGCNTTCACAATTAAACAGATTGTTAATTGTTTTTAATCCAGCTCCAGTAATGGACTGCTGTTATGTTTCTATATAAACCATCATCAGAGAGGCAATCCTACCTTTTACAGAGCACGTGAAGGTTTTGGAGACCTAAGGCGTGTGTGAGGGACAGGCACTCAAGAATTGTTCTTTGAACTCCGTCAACTGGCTGCTGTAAAACAGAAAAATTAGATCCCTCCATTTAAAAACCGAGGCTTTAGGTGCTCATCAGCATATCTGGATTAAATACCAATAAACCAGTAAAGTATCAATTAAATGAAAGGTCAAAGTTCATGCTAAAAAACACCAATGTGGTTCAGCCTGGACAATGAAGTCAAAAGCTTTGTATCCATGGTCTCCTAATGCAGCATAATGCATTTTATTTGATGATTTAAACTCTTTAAATAAAGAAAGAATGAAGAAGTAAAATAAATTAGTGATATTTTTCAACATTTGCTTCAACATGAAGGAAGAACAACACTTTGACATCAATTGGCTGCTTTCAGTGACTCTTCACAGAAACTAACCTTGGGGAAGAAGCGGCAGTAGTCTCTGGTCAGAATCATCTCCACCAAGTCTTTGAGCCCCTCCAAACCCAGCATGTCTGCAGCCAAAACCACCTGACTGTACGACGGAGACATTACAATCAAATCAGCTGCTTTTTGCAGAGATTTTTGACCTCGCCTCTCTTTTAAACAGTACCTGGCGTTGGCTCCTTTGGGCAAATCCATAATAGCTCCGTACATAAACTGAAGCAAGATCTCCATCTCATCTGGTCCCAAGCTGAAAACATCAACATACAAACAGAAGCTAATAAGATACAAAAGTCTGGTTCAATTTGGTTCATCTGATATGAAACTCAGTTTATATAGATGCTGCTAATGGATCTTATGCACAAAATAATTCATCAGGAGAAGAAAAAAAAATTCCCTAAGTGTTTAATTGTATTGTTGTAACAAAAACGGGATAATCGTACAAGATGATAAAAAAAAAAAAAGAAGAAGAAGAAGAAATTGGAGACAGACAGCATTGCAGAAAGGGCTCTAGGCAGGGGCAGAGCTAGATGGGGGACCAGGGGTGACCATGGCCACCCTTAGCCACAACCAACATTTTTTTACCCTCTAATACAGATTGTGGCATCAGTAAAACTCTCAATTTGTTGTGTTTGTAATGGCCAAACCCATGGCCACACCTTAAAAGTCTGTAATATTGTCAGGTCTAACACCTAAAACACTGTAAAACAAGGAAAGAAAGGCACAGAGTCAGAATTCTTTTTACTTGCAAGGGGAGTAAGCTTCAGCTTTCTCCTTGCTATTTACTAAAGTCAGACGGGGGGTCCCTAGTTACACAAGCTGAGGTTGCGCTAAAGGAATAGGAAACAAGAAATACAATTCAATTTGCTGTCTCGGTGAACAGGTCAATTTGCATTTAAACGTCTTGTAGTCAAATGATACGAGAACCTCCTGGTTTCGTTAAGCTTGAGCAATACTTCCTGAGAGTTGACCTATACTGCTTGTGCAACACCTCTCTGGAACAGTAATATGTCACACATTATACATCATAAGAACAAACATTAAGTATCTTATACATAATTATTCCAACAAATACACATGCACCTTTATTTATTAATGCATACATACACTTTAGTTGCAATAAAAATTCATTCTTAGTTTAAATACATGTGTTTTATTTGTGAGCGCGCACATTTAGTTCTTGTAATTGAATGCACTTATTCGTATTTTTTGTGCTTGCCACAGGTTTGCCTGCCGTGTCTAAATGTAGCAGCAGCAGAAAGCCAAACTGAAAGCTCATTGGCTCATTTGGATCATGTGTTGCCTGGTCCCAGAGGGCTTTACCGTATTAACAGGAGAAGCGGCGCAAGTGAAGTTGGACACAGCTGTCAGACAACATGCGGTAATTTATAAAGGTTTTAAATTAGATTGGGTCGGATTAGCCAGCAGGTGGGTCCTCTAATCCGTGACCTCTGCACTATGCCTTTTATCTAGAAAGCACGGATGTTTAAACATATGCGTCTATATGTTAGCAAAGGCTGTAGGAAGGTATAGTTTGTCTTTTCCTGTTTAGTCGTAGGGAGAGGGCTTGGCTAAAAACAGAGAGAGGCCTCCTGCTCCATAGTGATATTGTTGCCTTGCTCCCTTTTTTTTTTTTGCATTAAATTAAGACTGAACATCTTAGCATCCCGATCTGGGTTTGCTTTTCAAAGTGATGTGAAGGAAGAAATATGAGGACAGAAATGATCAAGATGGCGTATAGAACTACATCTGATAAGATATTTAAACGGCTGCCTGAAGAGGGCTGTGGACATCAGAGAATTAGCCCAACTTTGTGCAGTAATACTAGGCAGAGATTTAAAAGTCGAAATAAGGCATGAGGACGGAATCCTAATGAAGACGTCTGGATGCTAAAAAGGAATCAAAAGATGCGTCAACAAGACCTTGCTAAAGAGGGTGAACCGTTTACTGTTGTTTTCACTTTAACAGATCTGTTTGTTTTCCAATCGAATAAGACAAAGGTTTAGAAGGATTCGGTGTCTTTAAATTTAGCTCTGAATCCCTTAAAGGTATTGTGGTGGATTTTCCGTATTTCCTCTCCACTTTAAAAGAAAAAAAGATGCCTAAAGGGTAGTGCTGTCAAAAGTATCAATATTCAAAAAAGTATTGATGCTAAAACGTTGTATCCGGATACGATACTTATTTTCAAAAGTATCGATACAGTGCTACCACGAGTGGCACCTAAACTGTCATTCATCTAGAGTGCAGAATAGAGGAAAATTCCCTTTCTGAAGACAGTGTGATTGAATAATTCTGTGCATTTTACAGTTTCAGACTTTTTTTGTAACAGGTGCAGCTGCTGAGAATTATTTTTGTTTGTTAACTGGTTTGGCTAGTGTCATTGTTATGTGAGCAAAGCATAGCCAAGAAAGGAACACCTTAAAGTTAATTTTGTTATTCTTGTATCAAGGTTGCTTAATATTGTGCACAGCATACAACCTCAAAATATTGTTCTTATTGTTTATTGTATTTATTTATTTTTTGTATTTTATTTATTAATGAAAATATTTCAGTTAAATTTTGGGGTCTTTGTGGTATCGAAAATGGTATCGAGCATCGACTACTTTTTCCTGAGTATCGGTATCGAGTTGAAAATTTTAGTATCGTGACAACCCTACTAAAGGGGCGAGCACGTAGGACGGCCTACCGTAAACATATCACTAGAATGATTGACAATTAGGAGGACCACTTATTTAGATGATCCACCCAGAAATAAAAAGATTGTCCTCCATAGCTTTAAACAATATCTAACAACCATGTGACTGCAGCTTTAGAGCAAACACTAAGGCTTCTCTTGTCAACATGTCAACCCTCCATCTTCCCCTGTTACCCTCAGCTCAGCGACCCACGGATGGTTGAGGCTTTTTGTCCTGTGTGGAAGTAAAAATCTCTGGCCTTGCTTTGCTGAAAGAAGCAGGCTGTGGATGAAAGATGCTCCTCAGCATCCAATAAGGGTTAGACATTCAACCAGTTCCAACCAGTAATTGTGTAACCTTTGACTTTTAGACGATATATGCGAGTGTGCTTGGATGAAATTAAAAACCTTTCCATGTTTTGTGTGTGTGTGTGTGTGTGTGTGTGTGGGGGGGGGGGTTAGGGGTTGTCTTACCCGTGCAGAGTGATGCATTGTCTGGAGCTCTCCATCCAGCTCCCACTGAGCATAGCGCGGAAGTACTGGGATCGAGCGCACAGGATCGCCCTGGAGACCAAAAAGAAAGCAGGAAACGTCATCACAACTTTTTAAGAGTGAAGACTCCCTTTTAATCCTGTTGCTGCTACAGAAATGAAAAACTTAATCTACATGTGTTAAATCTACACCTTTTCAAGTGAAAAAATAAAAAGTCTAACACCAGTGAGAGGACTTTTTATACTTTCTGTACGTGTCCTTTTTCAAATTTTAAACACCCCATAATCCCCAAGCTTAGGAAGGGTCTGAAACACCTGCTGACATGTAATCATGGAAATAAAGTTTGTTGGAGGGATGGAGGGAACATGCAGACTGAAGACCACCTTCTCTCTAACGAGCACTTTCTGCTCCTTTTCCTGCACAGGGGCTGAGAGCAAACCCGTCTCCATGGTTACTTGTTACAACGTCTACCTTTAAATCACAGACTGACCACCCACTGCTGGTGCACGCTGAACCTGTGCAGCGGTACACGTTTTTACCCAAACAGCTAGCAGCCATCAGGAGGCTTCATGAGAAATGTTTGATACACAGCAAAAACAGAGCTGAAAACAGGTTCAAAAGTATTCATTTAAAACCAAGGAAAAAGCAGTAATTACAGAAGTAATTCAAAGAGAAGCTCTAAATGTTAAAGTGTTAAAGGCACACTATGCAACATTTTTCAGTTAATTAATGTGTTCCATAACGTTTTGGATGATTAAATGAGTCATTTCAGGTTGAACAAAGGTTTTCTCGGCCGCCCTGGTGGTCTGTGGGGGGAAATACCGCTCTTGCAATTGCAGGAGCCCTCGGCCCGCACCCACAGGCTCAGAAGTCTCGCGAGAGTCGGTCTTGCTTTACGGCGAGAACTGCTACACGCCCCCAGTTAAAAGCATGCTCGTTGCTAGCGCAGTGGCGATCTTTGTGCAGTTATGGCGGAACCAGCGTGAAAACAGCGAAAGCCCATGTCGGAGCAGGCAAGAAAGAGGAAAAGGGCTCCGGACAGAGAGAGGAGTCGTACACGGGTGAACATCGGGCAAGCTTTTTCCGAATGGCGAGAGCTAAAATAAAAAGAAGGCTGCAAGGCTGACGCGGACCTCGCGTTTCTGCTGATGCGATTGTAAGTAACATTGGAATGGTTTCTTTCTCTCTGTGTGCATGTTCATACTTTCACTGTGTTAGTCATTCGTTGCGTTCGCCTGTCTGCTAAGCTCAAAACAACCGCGCCTGGCTTGACGGAGAAACCAGGAGAACAGCTGTGCATATTTACGACAGTGCACTTTTACTTTCGCCCTCTGGGGGGAGCCTCGCTGGAAAATCAACACCGGTTGCATAGTATACCTTTAAAGAGAGGAAATGAAAGAACTGGGAGTGGGATTTAAACGCATTTATTTTATAGATTAATTCATTGTAGATTTCATTTTAGCTCGGTTGGATTTTCTGGAAGTTTTCAAGCTTAAAATCGTAGGGAGGCTGCTGTTCCAACGGTTGCATTTCCGAATTGTCCCGAGTGGTGCACAACTTTACACGAGTGAATAAAATGAATTTGATTGGCCGTTTATCAAGGGGGCGGGATTGTTGTAGTGGAAGGTTCACAACATGTTTGATTGCGGCCGGTTTGTCGGAAGCATCTTGCTAACCAGTTAGCATCTTAGTGCTAGTAGGTTTCCAGTGGGAAATTCCATTGGGACCAAGTAGCGCTAAATTGGTGACTTAGAAACGACGCTGTCAATGAACGCTATGGACAGAGGAAACATGCAAGAGGAGGAGAGTTTAGTGTCGGAGGTCGTGGATGAGTCTCCCCCGTCATCCATTTTTTATTTAGAGGAGGAAAGCGGGGACGAAGATGTTGTGGAAGAGGACGCCAGGGCGGCAGAAGCTTGGTTTGGTGTAGAAGGCTTCCAGCCGTACATGTTTGAGCCCTTGCCTCGCAACGCTGCCAGTTCTGTTAGCTCTACGCCTGCCGAAGACACAGACGTCCAGACCTCCATTTACATAAAAAAAACAATGATAGAAAGTTTTACACAAACCTCAATAATAACATTAGCAAATAAAACAAAAAGCCAACAATGGAGAGTGAATGTAGGCAGTAGAACGCATAGCTTTCCCATGAACTAATGAATTACTAATGAATCGATCAATACAAGAAAAAAAACAACAACTCTATAATCGACCAACAAATGTATCAGTCTATCTCCAACCGACACATTTTATTTTTCATTATCCAAATAAATATCAACGTATTTCCTAAAGAGGCATTTTGTCCTCACACTTCTTGGTTCTAAGTTTCTCCTTCAGAAAAGTGTGTTTTCCAAACCATGTTCTAATTCGCTTGGTTTGTTTTTCTGTGGTTGTTACGAAGCCCAGTGATGACTTAAACGCGACATCAGCAGAGAAACAACCCTTAAATGTAGCCAGAGCTACAAAGACAGGAATTTGATTGAAGCATCTTTGAGCTAAAATGGCCTAGTCAAAGTCCAGGCAGAAATCCAATCAATAATCTGAGAACGAACTTGTCTTCAGACGTCCTGCATTAAGAGAAAATGGACATTTTCTGACTTTTACATCTAAAAAATTTGGTAAAGTATTTCCAATAGCTTCACAGCTATAAGTAGAGGTGGAGCCACATTTTACTGACTCCGATGTTAATAAAAAGCTTTTAAAACCAGGTGTTGCTTCACTGGTTTATGTTGGTTTATCAGAGAAAATTCTAATAAAACACAGTTTGCGGTTTAATTGTGAAAATAAATGTGAGATTAGTGAAACAAATCACTCTGTGCTGCTAAAACTGATAAAAAAAAGCAAACATTTCTTTACATCCACATGTATTTGTCCTTAATTTAAGCAGGTTTATAAGATTATCTACCATCATAACTAAAATGTTTGCCTTGGATATTCTGCACTTAAAATAAAAAATGGTTGTTTCATCTTATCCCATTGGCAAGTTGTCTTGCCTACCTACTTAAATCTATGGAGTGTCAAAGGGGACAAAATTAAAGAACTATTTACTACTTATTACATCATTAAATAATCAAATGTTTAATTAAATGAACAATTAGTTACAAGAATCTAAAATAAAATAATTCAACATAAAATGTAAGAAATAAACTGTTACGTGAAATAATTAAATCCATCTATGTATTTAATACGGCATGAAACCATGTACCGGTAAAATATGAAATTAAATATAAAGTTAAATAATTAAATATACCATTTATGGCATTAATAGTTTTAATGGAGGTATTTTATTTACATTTATTATTGATTTTATGGCACTGAGGTGTGAAATCATTTAAACCTAATCCATCAAACTCGGTGTGTGGGTCTAGAGCCATCACCATAGAAACCCTGACTGATTGCTGATTGGTTGCTTTTCACTGAGAAAGAGGAGACACCTTCTTCCTGTTTCTTCTTTCACTTTAATATCAATATTGTAACTGAAACAGAGGGGAAATAACTTAAAAAATGTGTTATAATTTATTTACAGGACATTAAGCCGGGCATACACTGTGCGATTTTTTTTCAATCATTGCACGCAGCTACAGCTCACACTGTACGACGAAATCGCAGGGTTTTGTCGTACAGATCAAAATATTCTCGCACGACTGAAAAGTCGGCCCGAAGACGGCAAAAAATCTTACAGTTTGTGCCCAGCTTTAGGTGAACAACTCCAAGCTTAGGAGAAAGCTATTTGTCGGGTAGTTTGCTGGAAGCTTCTACACACCCCAGCAGAATCAACCTAAGCTCCGCCCACTGACTGTTCTCTCATGAAGGGTTTAGAGACCAAATCAGGGATTTAGACCCAACTAAGGTCATGATATAAGTCAAGCAAAAATGCTGTTTACAAACTGAGATTAAATTTTTTTTGCGTTGAAGCAAAAACAAAATTCAAATTTTTTTTCTTGCTAAAGCTACATGCTAATGACGAGATTAATGTTCTGCAGAAACGTGCTATCTAACTAAATTAATTTTAAACATTTTATGTGATGCATGTTTGATCAACGGAGCTCTTTCAGTCAGTCGTTTCCATAAGAGATCCAATATACGGAAAAGCTTCAAGGGGTGTGAGTGAATACTTTTGCAAACAACTAGTTTAGTGTATGTGGACCACAGGCAGCTCTACCTGTGGCAGGAGAAGACCTGCTCAGCCACCTGGATGGTGATGTCACACTGTTCTCTGCTTCTGTAGAGATGCAGCAGGTCGGCACCGACACCCGAGGCCGGTTCCAGAAGCACAGCCGCTGGAGAGAATGAGGAGCAACATTCGGGGTGAGCATCAGTCAGCACAGGACACATATTTGGTTAATAAAACTGTATGTAAAAGAATGAAAGGAAAATATCAAGGCTGGACTGAAAGTGAATGCATCTAAAGCAGGAACTCACTGTAATTAGCAGGAAGAGCAACAAAGGCCCAAATGGGATTAGCTCCTAATTGGATTATGACTAAGAAAACATAATGTGAGAAAAGTGGATAGAGGAGGACAGCTTAGTGGTCACCTGACCGCAGAATAAACCCTCCATGTGTGCATCTGTTTACCTGAGTCAGTGGGACAGTAAGGAGGTGAATCCGCTTCAGGTTCAGCCATCCGCATGCTCTGCTCTGCTGTGTACACCTGCCTGTGGGTAAAAATCTGAAATTAATTAAAACTGAACCTTTTCTGAAATGTTACGGTTTCATCTGATAGACTGACGTCTGTTACACAGAGTCCTGCAACCTGCAGAGACACAAGCTCCTTGGAAAACAACAGATATTATTTGGCTGGTTAATATTCTCTCCTTATCAACAAGGTAAAGGAAAGGAAGCGTTTTTTTCCTTTCTCTAACTAGGTGACATCTGCTCCCTATATTGCATTTAAGTGGCAACAAAAGGTTGAGAAGGAAAAAAGCTGCTGAACCAGAAAAGGGTTGAAAGACACATTAGGCTAGAATCAGGTACTCCCCCAGGTGGTCAAAGCGAGAATTACACTTTTTAATGATAATAGGAAGAGCTGATTAAAAAAAAAAAAAGTCGGCTGATGGGGTTTGGAGATCAGGTAAGCAATGAGCCAATGGGAGACGGCCTGCAGAAGAGCTGAGACTCGCTGCAGAGATATTTCAGCACAGGAGAGAAGACAGACAGAGAGTCATCCCTCCAGTAGGGCTGAAACTGTGGATTAATCCTTCTAATACATTATTTAAATAAACATCAACTAAATTAGTAATGGATGAATCATTAACTAGAGCAGACAGACTCAAACTCATTACATTAGCAGAAAAGGAACCCTCTCAGAGCAGTAAATATGTCAAAGCTTTAAAATACTTTGCATTTGAGATGAAAAATCTAGAAGTCACCAAGTTTTAGCTTTTGTTGGTTTAAAGTCTATAAAAAAACTTTTGCTTTTCTAAAAAAAAAAAAAAAAAGAATCGACAGATTAATCAATAAGCAGAGCAGTTCTAGTCTCCAGTGAAGCGTGTTCGCCAGGAGAGAGAACCGTACCACAGGTGCATTTCTGTGTCTAACTCATGGGCGTAGGTTTGCATAGGGACCATAGGGACATGTCCCTACCAACATTTTGGACTGACCTACTTGTCCCTGCCAACAATTAGATGTGAAGAACATGTTTATAATTTACAATACAGCGTTGTTGCAGCAGTAGAGGAGTTCTGTATGGAGAAAGCTGACAGACGAAAACTTTTTTTTATCTAAAATGCAAAATGTTTATATATTTTTTTTTCAATTTTGGTATAATTCCTGCTCTAAGTGGGTCACACTGTGAACTAAAGACACGTTTTAGGGTCCCTATATTCCAATTAACGATTAATCGATTACTAAATTTGTTGACATTATTTAAATAATCGATTAATCTGATTAATTCTTTCAGCTATAGATAAAACACATGAAATGGGTTAAACAGTGAAGTTAATGTTCTAAATGCTCAGTGTCAGTTTCACTTCTAGTTCCAGGGCTCATGTAAATAAAATAAATTAATTTGGCGTCCCTTTAATCTATTATTTTGCATTTAATGAAAGAAATAGAACATTTAAAATAGGGATGCAAGATATAATCGGCCCCTTATCAGACATCGGCCACCCCACCGATATTTAACCCGATATTTGATCATCTTCTGAGTTTCTAAAGTCTAAAAAAAAAAAAAATAATAATTACTTCTTCTTCTTCCTCAAAAACTTCTTTTTTACAGACTTAAAAACTTCTAAAGACGAGGGAAAAAATATTGATACATTAAAATATCCCAATATCTTCATATGCTGATATATTGCCATTTAAAAACACCATATCAATCTCTTTTACTAATGAAATATTGCTATATGTCATCGTTATGCTACGAAATCCCCCGAAAATTCACCAAATGTTGCCATATTTTTATATGTTGATATATTGACGCGGTATCGATCTATTTTACTAACAAAATCTCACAAGAATTTGCAAAATATCACGAGAGTTTGTAACAGAATGATGAAATTTCACGAGATTTAGAAAGTAAAATAGATCGATACCGCGTTTTTAAAAATCAATTTGATATCAGCATATGAAAATATATTTGAGTATATTATTTTTCAAAGTGTCAGAAATGGATAACAAAACTGCTATTTTCAATGACTACTTATTTTTGTCCAGCTTTAACATCGGTATCGATATCGGTTATCGGCTACATGAGTTTTAAAATATCGGCATATCGGATATCGGCCAAAATCCCAATATCGCGGATCCCTAATTTAAAAGATAATAGTGGGTTTTATCTCTGTTTACCTCTGCACAATGCTATACATTCAAAAGAAAATACAGGATAAATCCAAATATAACAGACATATTTAGACTATATTTGGTTAAATAGGCACAGATTTACCTACTGTCTTCGTTGCTGGTAATTTGGAGTGGAAAATAGTCCTAATTCCACATTCATTAGAGCCGGTGATGCTTCAAACATTTAAAAACAGCATCTTCTGTGTGTAGTGCTTATAAAATTTGTATAAATGTAGCAAGAAATGCTGCTTTTCTCTTTAAATGACATACACCCTGATTTTCACGTCAAGCATAAAAAAACAAGAATGCATATTTTTGTATAGCACCGATGACATCAGACCAATAGTGTCCCTACTAAAGGTGAAATCAAACCTACGCCTTTGGTCTAACTAATTTGGACTTTTCTTGGAAATAAAAATCCAGTATTGCTTTAATAAATACATAATCTGCCAGTGTCATAACAGTTGCATCAAAGCTGTGATATCCCAGAAGTTTTTTAAACAAACTTTGTTTTCCCCTATTTTTAAAAGTCATTTTCCAGCCTCACAGGAAGCTCAGTCCTTTAATCCCTTTGCATACGATACTTTGGTTCATTAAATCAGGAATCGACGTTAACCATCGCCCGATTGCCCGGGGCAAGTAGTTTTTATTGTTGGGAGAGTACAAATTTAATTGCATTTGCTGGCTGGGCAAGTGCAATGATCGCAAAAAAAAATAATAATAATTGCTCAAAATTACTTTAAAATTACCGACATTCGATGAAAACGACCCAGAAGCGTTGCCGGCGCCATTTTTGTTGTTTTGTACACATTCTCGCGTGATTTGAAAAAGCCACGTGATTTTCCGCCAGACAGCGTTTTTTTTGTCCACCAAGCGGTAATTTTGATGTAGTTACCAAAACGACAAACAAGCTAGAAAACGCTATCATATGGCAGTCTTCTGTACAGTGATGCAGGTCACACATTAAAAAATTCTAATTTTTTTCTCTTAGACATCGGAGAAGTGCATTTAAATGTTATAGAGCTAAACATGTTAGATTGGTGACTTGTTATGTTATTATTATTGTCTTGTTGCTGCATTTATTTTGTCAGGGAAAACTAATCCTGAGTCAGTTAAAAGTCAGGGAATTCTGAAATGATGTCAGACTGTGGAAACCCTGAATAAAATAACTATGTATAATGATTCTCTAGAAA